TCCCCCGGGGCCGGGGGGCGGCAGGCGGTGTGGTGCTCACCTCCCGGGCAGTGCTTCCTCATGCGGCACTTCCTCGTCTCCAGCAGCGCGGGGCACGCGGCCCCCTCCTCCTGGGCAGTCCCCGGCACCTCCCGGACCCGCGTCTCCACACCCCACTTGCAGCCGCAGGTCCGGCCCTCGTGGGTGCAGGCACTCCACTTGCTCCAGGGCCCCGGCTCACACATCTCTGCAGGGGACAGGGGTGCAGGGGAGGGACGGTGACCACGCAGCACCGGGCATGTCCCCAGGGACCACGGGCATGGGGTGCGGGTGCTGCTTACCTTGGCACTCGCGGGTACCGGGCTGCACCGCAGTGTTGGGGGGGCACTGCCGAAAGCACTGGCCCTTGTGCAAGTAAAACTTGTCCTTGCACTTCATGCAGAAGTCTCTGCTGAAGCAGCTCTCACAGCTGGGCGACCTGCACTCTGCCGGGAAGGAGGGCTGGTCAGCCGGGCGAGCCCGAGGGCCAGCACACGGTGAGCCCGGAGCCAGCAGCCCCGGTATCCACTGGGGACCCAAAGCCCTTTGCAAACCTGCGGGGTCTGGGCTGCAGCTCTGGGCAGGGGAAAAGGAGAGGAAGCCCCACTGCCCGGCTGCGCCCGGCTCTTGCTGCTGCCACTGGCTCCGTGCCGCCGGGGATGCTGCGGGAAACGCAGCCGCCGCCCTTCCCGCGGCGCTGGGACCCGCAGGGCGGCGAGGGGAGGCAGGGGCACTGGGAGGAGCGGGGGGGCCCCGGCTGGCACGGGACGTACTTGTGCATCTGTTGACCTCCAGACCCCGCACGCCGAAGTAGCCGGGGGGGCAGGTGTGGACGCACATCCCGTACTGGCGGATGCCGTCCCTCCAGATGAGCAGGAAGAGCCGGTGGTGGCAGGTGATGCAGCCGTTGTCCTCTGAGCACAGGACGCAGCCCGTGCAGTTCTCCAGCAGGCCGGCGCTCACTGCGGGGACAAATGGTGGAGAGAGGCTGCGGCACGGCTGTGGCACACGTGCACGGCATGGCCGAGGCTGCGGGGAGGGTCCCAGCCTGGTGGCAGCCCCTCCCCGACCCACGGGGGTGACAGCACTGTCCCGTCTCCCTGCAGATGCCTCCCCACCTCCCTCCACTCCCCAAATCCCCCCCTCTCCCCAGGCTGGCAGCTCGGGGACGCGCAGAGCCATCGCTCCCCACTGCACTCAGCTCGGGCGTCACTGCCTCCATCACCCCAAGGTCCAGGGCTGAGGGTCTGCCCCACGCCCAGCTCTGCCCAAGGGTGCCAGCCTGAGCCCTGTCCCTACGCCAGCCGTGCCCATCCCATGGGAAGCATCCTTAACGCGAGCTAAACAACGGCTCTGTCAGCGGGTAGAAATATGCTCTGACCTGGATTAATTAGTTGATGCCTGTTAAGTGTCAGGGGACAAAGCGCATTTTGGAAATGCTTAAGAGGAGCCGAGATAAGGATCTGTCTGGTTGCTCAAGAGCCTCCACCGCCTCCCTGGCTGCCTTTGCAGTTTTCCCAACCTGGGTGACGGCGGCCAGCCCCGAGGTGGGCTCTGCTCCCAGGGAAAAGGACGGGGTGCCAGCCCCCATCAGCCTGCAGCCCCCGGTGGGGCCACCGGAGACCCTGCCCACCGCTGCTCCTCCCAGAGCCGGCTCCCTGCGCCCAGAGAAATGCAGCCTGGAGAGATGCTTCTGGCACAGGGGCACTTTGGGAGCTGGGTAGCTGAGCCCCAAGCACTGCGGGCTACCCATGCCCGGTGTCTTTTTGCACCCCCAGGCTGGCTGGGCATCTCCGTAAGGGGCCACCAAGCTCCTGCACGCAAGCAGCCGATGCCTCTGCTGTACCCAGCTGTGTTGGGAAGCATTTGCTCGGCTCTGGCACCGCGGGCTCCCCCAGGCGCTCCTGAGCAAAGGCTCATGTTGTGCAGCAGTGACAGTGCCAGCAGCGCTGGAGCTGCATGCTCGGGCCCCGGGCTCCATCTGCCAGCAGATCTTAGAGCATTAAGATGGTTTTTTGCATGTAGTGAAGGCCTAAGGAGGCGGCTGCCCTGGACAGAGCAGAGCCCAGTGCCTGTGGTTGGGACAGGCGGAGGCTGATGCAGACCCCCAGGTCCGAGCCCTGGCAGGCGCCGGGAGGGACCTGCCCCGGAGCAGCTCCAGTCCCCGCAAAGCCGAGCGGGCAAGGGCAAGCCCAACGAGCCACTGAGCTGGGTGCTGCCCGGTACAGACACAGGTTTCAGCCCCAGGAGCGATCCCTGGCACTGATCCTCTCTGACCCCCAGGAGCTGACAGCAGAAGGGCCCCATGGCCGCGGTGGCCGCGGCAGAGGGGCTGGTGGAAAGCAGAGGTCGGGGCCGGGGAAGCCAGGGGAGATGCTGGCAGACGATGCCTCGCAGCCCTGTGTGCTGGTCCCCGGCACAACTTTGCCTGGTGCAAGCCGGTCCCTGGTGCAGCGGTGCCATGTAGCTGTCCCCAAGCTGGCTCATCCCGGTCCCCTCACAGGGGTTTGGATGGCAGCGCGGTGCGGCGCGGCCGGGAGGCTTTGTTAGGGCTGCATCTGCTGGGAGTGCACTAACGAAGCACCTTGGATCCATTAAGTTGTTATGGTCTCCGTTACATATTTACCAAACGCTGACAACATTTGTGTTCCTGGCTGCAGCTGGAGCGGCTTCCCTGGGGACCCAGGGATTTATGAGCCTCTTTCCCTTCCCTAATTCTTTTTGATGATTTTTTTTTTTTTCTTTGCCGCTCTCCCTCCAGCCCCCGTCTGGGGCAGGGAAGGTGGGGAGCCCTGCGCAGGCTCCACTGCCGGATGGGCAGGGCTGCCGGCACGGCGGGGCTGCCGGCACGCGCCTCTGCCGCCAGGAAGCAATGCTGGGGAGTTGCTGCAGAGCCAGTGGAGGGCTGTGCCGCACAATGGGATGTGGCTCACACCAAAACCCTGGGACTGGGGAAATTAGGGACACCTGGTGGGTTCGCCTCCCCCCCCCCGGCAGCGATTGCAGGCCCGGGGTGCAGGGCTGAGCTGAGACGGGGGGCACACAGGATACCGGGGTGCCCAGGTGGGTCCTCCCTGCCTGGGCCGTGCCGGCCATCAATGCAGCACCACCCATCGCTGCCTGCCCCGAGCCCAGCTCTGCCGCCATGGGCTCTGCGGGCACCGGGAGGCTCCTGGGCGCTGGGCCTC